GTTTTTCTTATGACATTTACTTCAGATGTACTATAACTTAGTACCTACTTAAGTCTTAACTGTCTTTGATGAATATCTATGTAAACATGCTTTCATTTTATATTTAGCCACTTGAAGTATAAAAAGAATCCTGTTTGACAACTACAAGAAGTTGAATGAAATTTGAAACAAATTGAAAAAATATATTATGAAAATCAGTGGTGTCTTGTAAACAAATGTTCAGGGTATGCAAAACAGATAATTGAACAGCAGTGGATCCCGGAAAGGGGCATGGGGGTCAGACCCCACCTCATTCCAATTTTTTTGTAATTTTATTCAATTGATTCAAAACAATTGTACCACTGATAACATTACATTCCAAAGCATTATTTCCAAGAAGTTCCTACAGATGAGAGTTCAAAATGTTCGAGTTCTAAAAAAGTGTTGTGTGTGTTGCTCTAACAATAATTGAAAAATTGGATTCAATTTTCCTCCAGGTGTTTAAGATTCACTATATTACGTATGTGATCTTTTGACATTTCATTTTCTGTTCATTTTTTGATAATTTTTTCAAAATATCCATCTCTATTCCAAGTACTCTCCGTAATTGTCAATAAAAGATATGACCAAGGGGCCATTCATAAATTACGTAAAGAAAATTTGGAGTAGTTTGAATACCCTCTTTCCTCCCTTTAACGCAACCGTAACACGCAATTTGACCCTCCCCCTCCCTAAATAATTGCGTAACGCTTGCGACAACCCCCCACCCACCCAACGTAAACGCAAAATAGGGAAAATAAATTATACAACAGTGACAAAAATTGTATTAATTTTATTTTTGTTGTATCTTAAAATTTACTATAATTAAAGTCGGAATTAGTTGTCGATGACCGCACGTAACAAGATTGGGAACAAGTTTTGAAACAGGGAAGGACGCACGAGGGAGAAAATTTCTGATCACAAGCCATGCACACGCCGCCGCTCTGGATGGCGCATGGGCGAGTCTACTGCGCCAATGTAATTCTTCAGAATACTACAGATCAGATTTGAATGTTTTCTTTGAAAGAAGAATTTTATAGATTCAATACAAAATTGATGAATAAATATTTCCATTTATTGTAACAACTTCTAATAACTTTAATTATTTATTTTTTAAACCAATTAATTATATAATATTTTAATGTTTTAGTATAAGAATCAAAAAAGGAAGTATTTCAACAAATGTAAAAAAAATATTACGTAAAAAATACAAACCTGTTACTATCCGCGCAAGTTTTTTCTTGAGCCCTCGCTTCGGTAGTTGCGAGAGTAGTGGGGAGTTGAGTTATTTTGGAATGGAATTTTATATCAAATTTGTTGTTCCTTTTCCGATGCAAAATAGTTTCTATTACACGGGAGCGAACATTCTGGTTATCAGATTTTGTCTAAAACGTTCGTTGCTATCATTTATTCTTAATTCAACTAATGTTGGCAAAGGAATGGGGGTAGATATTCCGTGGCTCAAGAAAACGTGCGCATAACACAAATCTATACACTTCTGCCCTATGTAAGGCTCCCTCCAACCCCTTCTATTAAGCGTTACGTAATTTATAGACGATCCTCAACAATAAAGCTTTAAAATGGAAGGAAACAAATCCTAAATAATAATCACTTTCTCTGTTTGTTAACTCATCAACAAATAGTAAACATGTGCGTGGCATGTGATTACATGTATTTTATGTGAATGGAAATCGGAGTCTTCCGCAGAAGTAAGGACATTATGCGAGAACAACTTGTTAATGTAGGAAAGGAGAATGATGATTCAGTTCTGACTCAAACGTTTTGCTGGAATACTTTCCAGAGCGGATAAATACAGTGACGATTACATTTTGTATTTGTAATGCGCAAGACCAATTGTTTTACACAGAACACATTTATTCATGTTAAATATTTTATGTTGTTCAATTATTCAGCTAGTGTCAAACGAATATGCTTATGGTCATACTTGTTTATGTTGAAGACGTCGCGTGTAAAGGAGAATATCGATATTTTAAATTATAAAGAATTTACTTGATTTTCTGAACAAATTAAGGAGTTTTGCCTAAACAAATGCTCTCTGGGCCGTCACTGTAATTTTTAAAAAAATAAAGAAGTGCAGCAGAATGACGTATATGTCATATTGTATAGTACACTTAGCACTATCCGTACAAGTGTTCCATGAAAAAATTGGAGCATTTTTGAGAGTCTTGTTTTTAATAGTTTTTTTAAATATTGTCCATATTTAACACTGTCACTCAGTACTGCTTGCAAATTACTTAAAAAATGTACATGGGCTTAATGGAGGAACTAATTGTGGATAACAAATTACATCTGAAGTAAAAGTCACTACTTTTAATATTTTAGTTGTAGAAAGACGCCGAAAAAAATGTCACTTTTGTAATTTCCGAAAGTTTAGAGTTAACGTGAAAATCGGACCTATGACATCTTCATTAGTGTATTTTGCTAAATTCTTACAAAACATTTAAAGAAAAAAACTTGGAGCCATTTTTTGAGAAAAGTTTGAAAATGTCCCAGGAGTGTCATGTAAAGTATCCTCAAAATATAAAGAATGTTTTCCAAACTCGCAGAGCTTCGAGTAGAACCGCATCAAACTCGGAATATTAATTTTGAAAAGAAAAAAAAAAGTCCTTCGGCGCTAGTGTTGATCACTGACGGACGTTTTGCCATAAACCAATTTTTTGGTATTAAGGACCCTCAAACTATGAAATCTGACTTCGTAAGGTGTTAGATGAAGTAATTTACTACATTTTAGAACAAGGTTTATCCACTTTTTCTGAATCAGGACCTCACAATACGAGCTTTTCCGTCGAAAAATCGCCGTTTTGCCACATCGTTGTATCTCTATTGTCTATACTATGTAAAATACTCCGTATTGGGGAAAGTAAAATACGACAAAAGAGAATTAAAAATATTGAAACAAACGCTGCAATTCGTAAATCATTATCTATACGTACGAGCTAGTGTCTCAAAATAACCTCTCCCTGCCAAAGTCAGAAGGTAATCTTGACAAAAAAAAACACGCAATACCAAGATTTAAGTAGGAAGATAATCGCTTTTAGAAGAGACGAAAGACCAGCATTCGCGTTGGTTATGTTGGAAAGATAACATACAATGAGATAAGATGCGGCGTACATTCATCATATTTTATCTTGAAACCTTTACCAGTAGATAATTGACGGTGGAAGAAGTCGCACCTTTTGACTATCGTGGTTTCCCGCGTGACCGAAGCACCGATGAGGGCGTTGTGTGTCATGCTGGTGGGTCTGCGTTTTTTCATTCATTCATTCATTCATTCATTCATTCATTTATTTATTTATTTATTTATTTATTTATTTATTTATTTATTTATTTATTTAATTTGTTAAATGTTTATTAATGACAGAATGTACATAGTTCAGATTTATTTATACATCATATGCTTGGAAAACGTTCTATTAAATTTAAAATCTAATTTTACAATTATAGGTAACTATTCAGGAGTAAGACACTCACAGAGTACCTAAGGGATTAGGGGATTCAGGACTGATAATAATCTGAGGAATGAGGGTATTTAATGTTTATTATAGTTGGCAGCTGTTGGCTAAATCGTAATGGATTACTTAGGATTTTGTGTTTTGGTATAAATGCAGTTTGTGGTACGATTCATTATTCACGATTCATGCGCAGTGTTGATTTCGAGAATGAGTCACTCGGGACGCGGCAACAGTGCACGGCCGACGCATAATTCCGGGGAAAGTGACGCTTCGCTGCGCCATTCCAAGTTGAGGACGAGGCTCGGGCCTTCGGCACTCGCGATAACATAAAACATCCTTGAGTCTGTCCAACGAGAAATAACCGACGCATTTTGGACGAATACACCTTAAAAATAATTTGGCGTGTACATTTTCTTATTGTTTTCCACGAAAGACTTCATTTTTATGCCTCCTGATTGCCCTAAGTTTTCTCCTTTGTGTATACTCACGCGTGAACGAATCGTATCACAAACTGCATTTCAACCTGTGTTTACTTCGGAGAAAATTGGTTAGGCCTCATTCACTATGCGCACTTTAACGTAAACGTAACGTCGCAAAACCTAGAAATGAGTTATTAGGCGAGACAATTCACAACACCTTGACCTAACCGTAGAAGTAAAGCCGTAAACTTAAAATAGTTCACAAGCACCTAGCTTTTACGACGGAATTCTACTGAAGACCAATCGAAGAGCAACATGAAAGAAACAAAATCCGCAAGGACCAAGTGAAAGGTCGATTTCAGATTGTGTTAACGTAGTTTGTGGTTATGTCATTTCATTATTGTTATGTAGTGAAATAGTTTGCGAACAGTTCTGATGAGAGTAGTGAATTCAAAGTAAGAATTTGGGCCATTTTCACGTGACTTTAACTTGACGTGGCGAATAAAATAATTACGTTGAACGAATTATTTTTGAATTTGGTACAAGAGAAACTTTGTTTATGAAATAAAGGAAATGCTAGCACTAATTCGTCAGCTACTCGCGTATAAATATAAATCGATAGGAAAATCGAAGAAAAAGCTAGAAACCATGGTAGCAAGATCTTTCCACCAAAAGAATCGAACACTTTATGTAGTATATTCTAGATTGTTGGTCAAAGTACACTGACTAAACCGAAAGACAGACAGGAGAACCAGGGGGGTAAGTCCGATCCTCTGTGCAGTTGGCGGGCGTGGCGCTCGTCGCGCGGGCGGACGAGGACGCGGCGTTCGGGCCCGCGGCGTGGGCGTGCTCGGCCGCCGCGCCGTCCGCCACCGGCAGCGACAGCGACAGCGACAGCGACTCCTCGGAGGAACGCGCCAGCCACCTGTGCACCTGCCTCAGCGCCCCCGATGCCTCGACCTCGCTCACCTGGACGAAGCTGGACTGCTCCCACCGAGGATTTGAAGCGGTCGCCTCGGGGCCGACGCTACCGTATCACGTTAGGGTATTAGATTTGTCCTGGAATCACATTCATTTTCTGGAAGGAGGCATGTTCGACCGTTTCCGACCGCTTGAGGTGTTGAATTTGGGCCACAATGAGTTGATTAAAATTTCAGAATACGCTCTGGCCGGACTGACAGCGCTGACGGTCTTAAATCTCAATCATAATCATTTGGCTGAGTTGTCGGAGCATCATTTAATGAATCTGTCAGCTCTTAAAGAATTGGATTTGAGTTGGAACGATTTGAAATACCTTCCATCACATCTTTTCAGAAATATTACCGGGTTGGAATCATTATCTCTTAGCGGAAACATCCGACTGACCCAGTACATTCACGAATCTCCGGACGCCCTCAAAGATGTCCTTCAGCGAGGATTACGTCGTCTTAAGTTGAACCACTTGGAGCTTGTTGATCTTCCTGAAAATTTGTTTAATTTGGCATATAATCTGGAAGAATTATACATCACTAACAATTACTTCACCAAACTACCCGATTTATATGTAGGATCATTAAAGAGATTGGATGTAAGTGGTTCGAATATCTCTGTGCTGCAAACTGGAAATTTCTTATATCTTCCCAGTCTAGAGGTTCTTCACATGAATCGAATGAAGCTACTGACTCGCGTAGTAGAAGGAGCGTTTGTCGGACTGAAGCATCTCCAAGAATTGTATATGGAGAAATGCCTCAATCTAACGTCTTTTGATGGGATGGCTTTCGGAGGTCCGACGTATAATCCACCTCCTCTGCGTAACTTCTCGTTGAAGCACAGTGGCTTACAGACTCTATCAAAAAAGCTTTTTCCAGTCTTTTCCGATATCCAACATTTAAAACTGCAAGGAAATCCATGGGACTGTGATTGCAGATTACGTTGGTTCAAAGAAATGAACTTTTCTAAAGAAATTGAGCATGTTAGGTAAGTTGATTTAAATTATAATATTCTATTGCATGTTTAGTATTGTGTGTTGTTAATATAATACATTGGCTTTTTTAAACTATATGTAAATGTATTACTTTATTAATCAATTGCATATTTTACCATATTAATATACATTTTGTTCTTTACAGATGTTATTTCCCGCAGAGCCTTCACAATAGGACTATTGCTAGTCTTGAGAGATCTGACTTTGTGTGCATGACGAAAAAGACTCGAGTGTTGTACGGTCTTATGATATCCATGGCTGTTCTCTTTGGATTAATAGCGTTGCTCGCTATTGTGGCTTCTTTTGATTCATTGCGAGGCAAATGTTGTGGACAGCAAATATCACATCGAATCCGCTACGATCCTATGTTGGTCCAGTTGCATCCAAACAACGCTGAGAATTATGGGGAAGACTATGAAGGACCTAATTCAATTAGCTTTATAAGCAGAGTGAGATAGCAAAGAAGAGCAAAAAAGTAAAGCGTTGTTTTGAAGTTTCTAGATATATAATTTTTAATTCCCTTTTCTAGTTATCTAGTTTCGATAAATGTGTCGCGCGCGCGTGTGTGTAAGTGCGTGTGTGTGTGATTTTAAATGAACTAGTGAATTTTGCAACATAAGGTGTTACTGTTGAACTATGTACAATGAAGTGCTGTAAGTGATATGTTCCACCCTATTTTTTCGTATCTCGATTAATAACAATTTACAACATTTACAATTATATATAAAATGTGTTTGTTATTGATGAAATGAAGTGTCTTACGTTTATTAATTTGCTTACAATTAATCAAGAAGCTGAATTAAATTATATGTACACCAATTTAACATCTTTTTGAATATTAAAATAGTTACTAATCCTACTAAAATTGTTAGTAATCGTTTTATTGTAATATATTTCAGTTTCGGTCAAAAGTTTAAGAACACCCCTAAATTACGCATTATTTATTTATGACCTTTGCTAAACCACACAATCGTGGATGGTATCCAAATAACCCTTAAAATGAGTAATCGTTTCATAAAAAATTCGACCTCTCTATCTTTTGTAGAATTGATTTTATTGCAATTTTTCTTTTTTGAAAATATGTAAAATGTAGACAGGATTTTACTGTAGGCAGAATGCATTGATTGCAGATGATTTCTCTGTCACAGGCTTAAACCAATCTTTTCCAGATGTTTTTGCAGAAAAATTTGTTTTTCTAATTTCAACGTAAAATTTTAAAATAAATATTCTTAGAGAAAAGCTAATTGTTTCCATAATGTCCGTTAACTTTTGATCGAGATTGATGCATCCGTTTCCGTAAACGGCAATCATTACGAATCCCATCAAAATGAGAAAAGCAGCTTTTTTTGTGCAAAAAGATCTCGGGAAAAGATGGGTTAAGCCTCTGACAGGAATCGTAGAAGCTTTAATCAGACAAGAAGACCGGCCAGAGATGCCTTTCCTGCGAACCCACACTCGCACCAGCATTCATTAGCGTGAGCGTAACCTGAGAGCGTAGGCTTCCGCGGTCGGAATCAGTATTTACTAGGCTGTCCGGGTGCCAATGCACCTTCACCATGGACGCGGCGTCACCCGGCCAGCCTAGTAAATAGCGAGCGTAACCGTTTCAGAGCAATGCATTTCTTAAATTAAAATTCGGTCTACATTTTATTCGCAAGCCATTTCAAAACAGAAAAAATACAACAAAATCAGTTTTACAACAAAGAGACCGGTTGAATTTATATGGAAATATTATTCACTTCTTAGGTTATTTGGATAGGCTCGGGAAGAAATAAACCGTAATTTAGGGGGGGGGCGTCCTTAAACGTTTGACCAAGACCGTATACGTAATGTAGCGGAAAATCAATTTCGAGATTTTAACGTAAATACTCGTTTTGGTGTTCCCTAATACCGAAAAAGTGGATTTTACTTTCTTGCAAAAAGATAAAGTATTGTACTCGTGCGACAAAAATCTGATGCTCAAAAGTGGAACAGAGTGGTCGATGTATCGATTGCTATCAAAAGTTCCCATTTGGAGCTTCATCGCGCGTGTCACATTTGACCTTACATTGGAGTGCCAAACCTCGTGACAGACACTATTGAGATACACATATTCATCCAATTTCTCGCCACTGTTGTCTTTTCTTCCTTGCTCATCAATAGGAACCCCATGTCCCTTCCTGGGTCAATGGCCAATACTGACATTGTGAAATTCGTTGCTCGTTCCTCTATCAGAGCGCCCAATTTCCTTAAACTTTATTGCTGCAATAGAGTTGGTGGAGCGAGTAACAGCAAGACGGTAGTTGGTGCTTCGAACGTTGACTCCGACAGAATTGAAGAGCTTAAACAAACACCATTTTTCGCGTAGTATTTCGAATATACAAATTTCCTGTTGAAGTTGTTAACTTTGATATCATGCCACGTCCAATAAACCAAGATGCAGCCACAAGATTTCGACAAAACAGGGACCCATAACGAAAGCTATCGATAGATTGTGGACGTCAATATGTATTGTGGACGTCAAGAGTCACAGAGTTAATAGTGAAACTCGGACCTATGCCACCTTTAAAAGTGTATTTTACTCTATTCTTTCAAGAAATGTAAAGAAACAATTTGGAGCCGTTTTTGAGAAAATTTTGAAAATGTTCCAGGGGATTTATGTAATGTCCTTCAACATTTTAAAGAATGTTTTTCAAAATTTTAAAGTTTCAATTAGAGCCAGATGGACAGGGGTTTCTACTATTTTGAAAACTTCCTACGCATGGTTTAGGCGGTAGTTGGGTTCGCAGACGGACATTAAAAAAAAATCACAAAAAGAAATTTTCCGCAGCATTACATAGCTTTCTCTATACTATGTATATTATTCCGTATGCACGTGTGTATACGGGAAAGTAAACTAATGGTGCTACAGAATGGCACAGACTTTCCTGTTTCCTTTGGTCTCGGTTAGCTATTCGGACTTCCCACATACTCTTGCCAGTTGCCATCTATCGCTGCCCAAAATACACTTTTTAAACATTTTCTCAGAAAAATTTCTCTTTCGTAATAGTAGAACTTACTTTAAGAGTGTTAAAGAGGAGTATAACCTCGTTTTATATAGAACTTTACATTGACAAATTTACATTAGTTTTTAAGAATTGTGTTTAAGCATTTCTGTGAACGCGAAATTTGAAGCTCTTTTCACAAATAACTATTGAGTTTTCGAGAAACTTCATGTGAATTTATTTTAAGCACTTTCAGTCGCAAATCCAATAGTTAACAATTCGTTGAAAATGTGCATATTAAAGGCGTGAGAAATATTTTTAAAAATTGCATTTGTGTAATTTTTGAAAAAACAAACGAATACAGGAAAATGAACGTTGTGTCATATTAAACAGTACAATTAGCACTATCTATTGCAAAAGTTTGAAGAAAAAATTGGGAACCATTTTGGACGAAATGGAATTTGAGTGTTCCTGAAAAAGCGGAATTTTATGCTTATTTTTACAGAAAACTGTTGTTTTAGAGAAACTTAAACTGACATTATTTTAAGAACATGTACTCATAAATACGTACAATAATGGTAACAAACCACCATTAATGTAAATATTAACGATGTGAGAGACAAGTCAAAAAAATTACATTTTTGCAGTTACTTTTAGCACTATTCCTACCAAATGTTTAAAGAAAAAATTTGCAGCCTTTTTTTAAAAAATCTTGTTTATGCAATTTTTTGCAATTGAACATTTTGCACACAATATTACTAGAAAACTACTAAAGTTGTCAAAAAATTGTACAAGATCTTATGAAATATTTAACTATGAAAATATTTTATTTGGTGGAAAAATATATGTTCAATTTTGTAGTTGTAGGAAGACGCCGAAAAAAATTCATATTTTTGAAAGTTTCGAAAATTCAGAGTTAACCGTGAAAATCGGACCTATGCCGCTTTTATAAGAGTGTTACTATATTCTTACAAGAAATTTAAAGAAACAAATTCGAGTTGTTTTGAGAAAATTTTGATAATGTGCGGAGGGCTTCATGTAAAGTATCCCCACATTTTATAGAATATTTTTCGAAATCTCAAAGCTTCGACTCGAGCCAGATGGACAGGAGTTTCTTCAATTTGGAAAAAAATCTTACCCATGGTTTAGGCGTTGGTAGTGTTCACAGACGGACGTTTTGCCATAAATTGATTTTTTGGTATCGAGAACGCACAAAAGAGGGGCTGACATATTTTTTTCTGCCGAAAATCCGTCGTTTTTGCGCGCAGTAATACATAACTTTCCCTATACCACGCATATTACTCCACATACACGTTTCTATACGGGAAATTAAAAAGGCTTCTGGAAAAGTACTTCAAATAACCACTTTTCTTACGAAGTCAGAGGATGACAGGTGCCCAATGATAACAGGAAACGGTACTGTTACCAAGAAAAAAATACTGATATATGGTTTCTTGAAGCGAAGTGGTAATCTATTTACTTGTGATTATCCGGATTCCCGTGAAATGTGTAAAGCATGAACACAGCCTAGAACTAAAAGTCGGCGTTTTATGGGCAAATTGGAAAAACTGTCCGGGTGACGCCACTTCGAAGCCCGCAGACCAGCCCTGAGGAAGATGGTCGAAACGGCAACCCATACTTCGACGCGGCGTCTCCTGGACAGCCAAGATCATTCAGAGAAAAAAATGTTTTGCAATCACAAATGGATCACCAGAATATTTTTGATATTCTATTTTTTTGTTTAATTGCCTGATATAGCTCTCAATTTGGAGTCTTCAGTTTATCTTGTGGTCCCAACATACAAATTAACTACATTACATTTTCTCGACAAGAATATAAAATGTTTCTTGACAAATACTGTTTGGCAACATTTTCCGAGTAGAAAGTCAAATTTAGATCTTTCTTGTCCTAAAGCAAGAATCACGATTGAATAATAGAGTGAGTTGAATTACAAAACCCCCCAACAAAAGATCTCTTCGGGGAGCCCGGATGGGTTAATCCGGCCCTGCCAGAAAGTCATGGATCAGTCGTTGAAAGAGGGTTATAAGCTGCTAGTTGGTAACGACGGTCTCTGCTTCCTTTGGCTTACGACACTCAAGAATCTCTACATCAGTAGAGAGCTCTGTCCGTGGAGTATCTATGTCAGGCCCGAATCCATAGTAGTACCGAGTGTTTAAGAGTGTAGGAGAGAGAGAGGGAGAGAGCGAGCGAGCCAGAGAATGCGGGAGCGAGAAAGAGAGCGATAGAGAAATTTCTTCAAATTGTCGACGAGAAGGATAAGCTAAGCCTATTTCCTTTTACTTTTAATCATAATCGTTTTTCTCACAACCGTCTTCATCTTTACGTGTATCATTGATTTGTTTCGTTATTTTTTCCATATTAGGTAGACTTCTAATTTTCTGGACACACTTGAAAGTTTTGCACGTTGAATTTGAGTTCTTCGTCTTTCATCTGTTGTAACAACATTTATCACTGTGCCAGATTTTCAGATTTATTCCTGTCGCTCTCTGTTTTTTGTGCTATGCTTCTTTAAAAACCATTAATTTGAAATTCGTATCGTTTATTGATTTGTAACAGTTAACTCGTACATCTCCATTACTTCGTT